TCCCCAGAGTACGTAAGTTATGGTTGACCCAACAATGTATTATAGTTCTCGTAGACACAATATTGGCCCACGCAACTTGTGATATGGTTGTCATAATGCACCAAAACGAGCTTTTAATTCGGTAGGGTGTACTATAAATTAGGGCTGGTAATTTCCTTCGAAGCTTCGAAGTTGACTTCGAACTTTCAAAATCTTCGTATTTATAACACCCTGTGCGGTTTTCTTCTTACGAGAAAGTCTTATACCGCGCGTCCCTCTAGCGAGGACATTCCGAACCACTTCACTTTTGTTCACCATGTGATTAGTAAGGTGGATGATAGAAATGTAGTTAAATTTACTATTATTGTGATTGTATTTACTATATAAAAATAATTAACTAATTTACTATTCATTACCTGGATATTTTAACAGAATAATAGTTCGAAGCTCATATTTTATAGTAAATTTTTTAAATAGTTGGCATCACTGTCTCTGTTTGGTTGCTATTACTAATATTATTGTAATAATTACTATAAAAATGATATTCCTGACTATAATTATTTCACTATGCAATTATAGTTTCAAATACTACATATTTTTCTATCAGTATTGGATTTGAAAAATTAATGCTAATTGAACCGAGCGGAAGAGCAAATCGTTATCGGCCACCTTCATTTTATTTTATTGCCACGCATCTTTGTGCTACTTAAAAATTTTAATTACGCATTAGTTACATTATATTATTTCTTGTAACACTCTTGACAGGTTACAAAAGATTAGTTAGTTAATTTTATTACACATTACCGTCGCACGTGATCATTCGTCAGTCGCCTTTGCTCTCACGATTGTTTTCGCTTCAGTCGCAGGCGACTACTTTGAACGAGGTAATAATAATTCTTACGAGATACCCGAGACGAACGCGACGTTTATCGGAACGATTGTTGAGGAAAAAATGTGATTATCAAACGTGGCGGCCTTCTCGCCTCGACTCGCGCAGCATTCCCGGTCGGCGCTAAGCCGCGCCAAGTTAATTTGTGATTACGGTAACGGTACGGAGGGACGTCGTGGGAGGCGAATTTGTAGGCTGACCGTTCGCATTAGATAATCCCGGCCTACATTCTTGGAATGTCTGATAACGCGGGGATCGTAAAGCGTGCGGCTCTCTCAGTCGCATGAAAAATGTGATACGGTTCGTACACGTCCCAGCCGGCGATCGTCCCATCGAATTCCGCTCGTTTACGCGTGCCTCTTGGGTGTGAGATGTATCCAACCGTGACCCCAATTGACAGAAGGTATGACGTGATTTCGCGACACCCCGCCGTTAGTACGCACGGCGTGCCGCGATGCTCTGCTAACCTCCCCGGATTTCTCGAGGCCGTAGTTTGTAGTCCGTTCGGTGTCGTTAAAAGAATACATTGTAAAAAAAGTATGTAAAATTACATACACGAAGAAAAAAATGCAAATGTAAAAACTCATGAAAATTCACGCAAATTTATCAAGAAATAAGTAAAATTCCGTATTCATAGTCAAATCTTATATTCAAGACCGTCTTGAATTTATCTAAAGATGCTGAGTATGGTAAAATTTCAAAATACTCTAATAAAGTTTTTCGAAACGCCACGTTGTCCCACGATTCCATAATTTTCAGGGTGAATTTTAAGAGAAAATTCTTTCCGTGTTAATATTAAATATAACAATTAAACGAAATAATCGGAGATGAAATTGGCAAAAATTCGTTCATTTTAGGTGTGACTTTATCGGGGAAATATTTAAACATACTTTAATAAACGTTTCTACATTCGTTGTCTAATTTAATTACATGCGAGTACTAGTGATTTTTCTCTACAATTACTTAGTAATTCTACAATTAGGAAATTCATTTAAACCGCGTTAGCTTCCTTTCGTATCGCGATAGGTGTTCAAAGTGAAGAGTGTGTAAATTACGGACCCGATCCATGTAGTCACGAATATCTCGCTCGGGAAGAAGATGACCGTTTTACGTGGCAATAATTTTTCACCGTACGCTCGAAGATCGAAGCAAAAGCAACTGCGCAGCGGCTCTGTTTTCCATTCGAACCAACGAGTGGTGTCTGCGATTTGAAACACTCGAGGACTATCGAAACAATTTAAAACGCGTGCCGGCCAATTCATTCCAGCGCGATAACGTGTCAGAATTAAGAATAGAGCCAAGTCCTTCCGGCGGCGATCGTACACACCTTTGATTTATTTAGCAAAACCTCCAAATCATTAGACAAGCCACACGCGCCATCCAGAAACACCAAAATACAACAGATCTCGCTTCTTCAGCTTGACTGCAACGATGTATACTTGGCGATGGTTTCTTCTTTATTTGCAGGCTCACAAATAACTCACATTCTCACTTACGTACGCATACTCCCGTAGAGAATAATATATATATCTGCGAGTATACCTTTTCACATTTCGTGCAGCTCATTCGAACTCGGCGATATTCCAAAATACGGGAGTCCCGTCGGTCCCACCGGGCTCTCCCGTTCGCTCTCGCGAACGTGTTGTCTCCCGAGCCCTTTCGTCCACCTTATTAAACCTATTATTTACCGCAGGTGAAGATCCGATGCTCAGCGACCAACAGCAGTACCGATACATGACTGTTGACGACATGAAGTCCATGGGAGACGACTCGATGCGCCTGAACGTGACTGACGACGAGAGAGATAATCGACATTCCGGAGGTAAATAAACATATCGGCTGCCTATATCTTCACACGTGTCATCGAGTGTCAGTCAGAATATCTACAAGTCGTTACCTGCGTCGCTTTCGAGTCTTTGGCGTTAATTATTGGTAATTTGCTAGAAATCACACTCGAAATTCCACAATCGCGTATTCCGGCGCGGTATTTATTTCCGAGTGATTCTGTATGCGCGCGGGATCTATTTTGCTCATACAGTTCCGGTGGTAATTTGGTAACTTTGCTATTTGAGTAGATTACGCGAGAAATTTGTAGTAGATTACGCGAGATCGTAGCTGTGCGCTCTATATAGCACGTGATATTCCGCGACGTATCGCAGAGCCGAGCGTTCGATTACTCTGCACATCGCGTTAATCAGATTAGATCATCCTCGGAAAATAAATTTAACGTGCATGGCGATGTGTTTTCCAGCGCCAACCATAACAGAGATGATTACGAAAGAACATTATCAGCGTACAAACGCGGCCAATCTTAAGCCAGACAATGTAGACATCAACAGGCATCCTGTGCATGTCGGGTATGTATTTTTACATCTACTATTTCTTCTACCTTACCCAAACTTCATTAATTAAGAGAAGGACGTGTAACATGAAGAAAATTCCATTATTGATGATTATGCGATTCGTTTTGAAATTTTACTTAAACGCTGCGGTATGAGCCCAAAAAGATACAGTTTTCCCTTACGGAAAAAAAACACTCAAGTTTTGAGTGTTAACACTCGATTGTCCGAATTTACTCCCAAATTTGGGTGTAAATATTAAAATCTGGGTGTTTACGACCAAGTTTGAGAGTAAATTCAGACAATCGAGTGTT